ATTCCCCAGCCAGCATGGCTGACTGGGGAATTCTGGGAGTTGAAGTCCACACATCTTCAAGTGGCCAAGTTTGAGAAATACTGTTCTAAGCTATATTTTTCCTAGTTTATAGAAGGAATCAATAGAAAAGTCTTCATCTGAAAATTTACACAGCTGGTCCAAGAGCCAGAAATATAGAAAAGAAAGGAGGGGGTCAGTCTCTATCCTGTCCCTACAACCATCCCCAAGCTGGACCCCCAATAACTATCTGAATTTGCACCACAGATTTGACTACGGAACACCGTGTGCCTCTCCAAACCAAGTGCAGATCACCAAGCATGAATGTGGCTCTTTCAGCGATAGCTGATTATTGCAAGAAGGGAGGGGTGTGTGTGTGTTTGGGAATGCACAGCCCATAACAACAGAGAACAATATGCCTCTAATCAGCTGCTCTCGGTTTAATGGACTGCAAGTTTGGGTAAGTTTTTCAGAGAATGCCTTCTTGGTACGTAGCCCAAGCCAAGAATGATTCATGTCAGAAGGGAATCTATCTTCCACTTTGCTGCGTTTGGAAACGTGGCCTGCTCTGCCTTCTGCCAGAGGTTCACCGAATACTCACACTGGGAATTGCCTCGGCAGACGACATGTGGAACGTCTTTGCGTCTGACTGCCCCGAGGAGGAACGTCGCATGCCACCCAACAGGGAGGACCCCAAAGCTAGCACAGACTTGCAAGCCATTGTTCCCCCAAACAAAAGGCCCCTCTGTTCCGCTCTCCTGATGCTGACAGCTGTCAGCCAGATACTCGCGGAAGATCAGAACAGAGCACGGTGAAGGTCTTCCTGTTTTGCCAGCTATTTGACATCGGTTCTTTTTTTCAACAGGACCCAGTTAGATAGATCCAGACTCAAAATTGCCCAGAAAAACACTGGAACATGGAGGGGTGGCTTTTTTTTTTAATATCTCCCTATAAGAGTTGGGGGAATGTTTTATTTAAAAAAAAAACCCACCAAGATACAAAAGGGAAATATGAAACTTACAAATCTGTACGGGAGGGTTTTCTACTGACTTTATTCTGTCCTGTTGCTATTATTTCCATATTACTACACTAATTACTATTACTATAACAATTACAGTTATTCTAGTCTTTAGTAATATTATATAACAGCATTTTCTTCATATAAACACTGTTCTGCCTTAATTCCTCTCTCTGGCATTCCTTCTGCTTTTTTCTTCTCAGTTCCTGGCCAGCATGCAACTGCAACTTGCAACTTTCCACATTGTGCTTTTATACTCGCCACTCCCTTTGAAGAAAAACGCCTTCTTTTATTCAGCTGCTTTACCCTGTTTCAGTGTTTCTCAACCTCAGCAACTTCAAGAGGCGTGGACTTCAACTCCCAGAATTCCCCAG